TAGGATCTTTACGCTAGAACATACAGGTTCGAGTCCCTACTTTAACGTCGCTTTTGCAGCAAAGTGCTTAACAACTCCTCAAAGCAAAACTCCGAGCTTGACAGTTGGAAAAGGAATTACGAAAGCGGAACTCAGACTTTCAATAAGCGTAACTCAGTGTTTCAAAAACGGAACTCAGAGTTATCTCTGAGTTAACGCGGAGCTTCAAACTCGGAGTTTCGACAAGATTACTACCGACCCAGGTATATTCAAAATGCTGTAGTTTACTTTTTGGGTAGGATTCAAGTGCAGCAAAATATCTCTAATTCGCAGTAAAAAGATCGTAATGCTAGATTAGACTCACAAGGAAACGATACTCGGTGCCCTTTTGAGTTGAGTTGTATACCATTACACTCGTTTTGGAACGCTGATTCCGAATCTGACTTCCGTTTCTGCTAATCGCTTCAAAGAAGTTATAAAGGATTGTGCGCTCTTTGGCTGCCCACTGAAATAAGTTCGGAGCGCCAACAGTAACGTGCGGTGTGGTCTAGCGGTTAGTGCGATAGGCCCATAAGTTGATGCAGTTATAGGTCCAAATCTTTTTGTGTTTTCCAGTTTTGCGTCGCCTCAATAAACCTTCTTTCGCATTTTCGAGCTAGCTGAACGCCCTTACTCTCCAAAAATGTGGAAATTTGGAAAAAATGATTACTGTTTGCGTTAGAATGTATCCAATGATCATAATTCGAGTAAATCTCGAACAAGTTTAATTGAGGCAGTGCAAAATAAAAACACAAAAGGATTTGAACCTACACCTGCATCAAGTTAAGAGGCTATCACACTAACCACTAGACAACAACGTGGCGCCGGTAGAGGCCGTCCCGATGAATATACCCTTGGGCGGATAAAGTTGGCTCGAAATTCCTCTATAACTTCTTTCAGAGAAACGATTAGCAGTCAGATTCGGAATCAGCGTTCAAAGACGAGTGTAATGGTATGCATCTGGTCTCAAAAGGCCACGGACATTGAGTATCGTTCCCTTGTCAGTCAAAGAGTAAAATTTCTGTGCTACAGTGTGCGAGAAGGCGATACAAGCAGATTTGAAAAATATTGACGGTGGATAACAGCAAACGCAAAAATTCCTGCTATACCTATAGAAAAGCATTTTTAGAACAAGGTATGAACTGAGAATTCCTGCGAGAAAATGAAAGTGAGCTCTAGTAAACAATAAGCTTTTCTCGTTAAGGAACAGTCAATTTCGTTTCGAGTAATTTCTCGAGTTCAAAACAAGGTCGAAAGAATGCATTTTATACACAAAGCTGAATGTCTATTTGTCTGTATGTGTGTATGTCTCTACGTATGTCCCGAATAGAACGTTACATTTCTGATCCGAACAAAACTTTGCACACGTACACGGGGCGGGCGGCTGTCGTAGGCTACCCTTCGTTATCGATCGATACCGATTTTATGGATTTTTTTTTGCAAAGTTTGATCTGTGGGGCTGGGAGTTAGCATAGGGGGGGGTAATCGAGCATGCTGATTACGAACAATATTAGTCCTCAGAATTATCCGTCACTTTTATCGATTTTAACGATCTTTTGCAAAGTTTGAGTTACGGGGCTGAAAGTTGGCGCAAGGAGTAGGGGGGGGGGGGGGTAAGTGAGCATGCTGTTTACGAATACAATATTAGAAATAGGTCATTCGTCTAACGTTCCGAGAGAAATAGTGGAAAGCAGTTTGACATGCCAGTTTTAGGAAATGTCTAGTAGAATCAACTCCAAAGTTTTGCCCCACAAAAGTCTATTTTGTGGAAAATAAACAATTTAAAAATACACAACTTAGTAGACAAAATAATTATGTTAGTCCTGTGGCGTGCTTTATTTTTTCAAGAATTTTGTAAGCTAAAAGTCGAATTCATCGGTTTATTAGAATTTCGGCTCTGTAATGAAAAGACCGTGCGAAACTAAATAGAATACTTGAACAGAGCCTCAAAAAACCCCCAAATTCATATTTTCGTCAAGGTTGAGCCAGATATTGTTGCTGAACATCAGTTTTGTGATTCATTGAACTCCCGGTTTCTTGAATGATGGATGCATCGCGAAAGCGTCGTGGATGGGAGCGGGGCTTAGAATGTACAAAGACTAGGCTCTTCACAACATGCTAATTGCCGTTATTGATAACTCATGACCCCATTCCACGTTGCCGCAAGCTTTCGGTAGGTAAGTTCCCTCACCCCGTACATGTACTTCTAAGAGAAAACTTTCTTGTGCAACAATCTTGATTTCGCTGACGCGATTCACTGGCTTGACTTGGGTGTCAATAATCTGGAATTGGGGGACAGATTCTTCGCATAAGAAGAGAAAGCCGATCTGCTCGAAAAACTAGTTGTGCTTCTGAAGATGGCTCGACAGAAGTGTGAGTAGTTCAACTCAGCTTTTTCTTCCTCTATTATCAGCCATTTTCTGTCATTTACTCTTTTATTTTTGATTCGAAATTACAATGAGACTTACCGTCATCATGTTGAGTTGTCCGCTTTTAGTAAATCAACTTGAATTGCTATGCAGATTCTACGAATTCTGAGTTTATAGTGATCTTTTAGCAAGTTTTTTCTCCGCGTGATCGATGATTTTGGTAAGAATGCAGTTGTTCGAAAGTACTCATATAATTGCCGGGGGCAGGCGGCCATGCGATTTATGGGCAGGCGAGCACCGGAAAAATAGTTCGCTGATCTCTTGCTTTCCGCTTGCAGATGTTTGGAAGAATTTGGGCGAAGGTTTAGACGAATGCTTGCAGAACAATTGCGCCTTTTTCATAAATTAGTTACGGCGAAGTCGCCGCATTCTCGCGGACCTTCTGCGAGAATATCAAGAATTATTGAAGGCCTCACGGTCCTTTGTGAAGGAACCGCGCAGCCGGTGGGTATCTTTCGCTGGAAGAAAGTACCCTAAACTCGGGTAATTGAACCATCGATAATACTTCTGTCATGTAGAGTGTTAACCTTTGCTCGGCGTACGCTTGAAACTGCCTAAAAAGCGTCCGAGCGCCTGCTGCAAGTTTGGCTCGCGCTCGCTGAGAAATTATTTGACGAGCGCTTGCAGAAAATTCTGTATTGCTGCCCGTCGGCAGAACATGCGACAATAAACAAAGTACCGCTCGTTGGAGGTTTGGCCACGCCTCAAATTTTTGGTGACCGCTTGAAGAAGAGCGCGAATTTGCGGACCGCGCCCCCGGCAATTATCTCAGTAATGCCGCTTTTTTCAAACGTGCCTGATCTGATGGAAAAAAGATTTAAAAGATCTTGGTAGCGTTCGATGCATGTCATCCTTCTTTTGATCCTTTTTTGTTATAAAATCATTGAAGCACAGTCAATGAGCTCTTGAATATTTACCAAAATCTACAACCAATACATTTGCGATGGTCAAGTTTCACAAGTTTTCCAAACTTTCATACTGGTTAACGGATGGTTGGAGCAACTCTTACAGGAAATAATACATTAACACATTTTTTTTCTCTTCTCGAAAGCTCCCAAAATTTGTGGATACATAGATTTTATGAAACCTTCAAATTTTACAGGCTTGTTTTAAACACTAACGCACCAATCTTTGAGCTTTCACCCAGGGAATCGCCGGGGATAGGCGGCCGCGCTATTTATAAGCAAGCGGGCACTGGAAAATAGTCCGCTGATTTCTTGCAATCCGCTTGCAGAAATTTGGAATGTTGGTCGCTTTTTAAACGAACGCTCAGAGAACAAACTCGGCTTTTTTAAATTGATTGCGTTGCAGTGGCTGCATTCTCTTGGACTTTCCGCAAAATATACAAAACTGTTGAGGGCCACACGGTCCTTTGTAAGGACCGCGCAGCTCGTAGGTACCTTCAGCTGAGAGAAATTATCCCAAACTTGGGTAACTAAAGCCAAAGATGACACCTCTGCCATATAGAGAGTGTTATCTTTGCTAGGCGGATGCTCTAAACTACCTAACAAGAGTTAAGCGCTCCCTGAGAAATCGGCCAGTGCTCGTTGAAAGAAATATTATTTGGCGACCGCTCGCAGAAAACTCTGTATTGCTTCCCGCTGGCAGTAAAGGAAGTACTGCTCGCAGTTTGGCCACGTCCCAAAATTCTACTGACTGCCTGCAAGAAAGCGCGAGTTTACGGTCCGCCTACCGCCGGTGATTATCTAGGTCATCGGTTCTTTACTTTAAATCGAAATCAACCTTGCAAAACAGTACTTTTGAATAGAAAAAGTATTGCGCAGAGTCCATAAAGATCGGACATTCGCCACACTTTTGAAGCGCCTTGTACAGCCACTAGATGAAGACTTTAAAGGCACCGTCCACCCTATGTTGAGGGTGTTGAGCTTTCGGCAGCATATAATACTAGGGCCCCTTATCAATCCAATGCCCAAGTCGCGGCGCAAAATGCCGCTGTAGAAGCGAGAAAATCGCTTCGGAATAGCGAAGATGCACGAGGACCCCCATCCATGCCCGCCCTCCCCCATCCATGCCAGCCCATTTGTGCGTGCCCATCCAATCGCCGTTCCGGAAAGCCGGCCTGTGGGTTCTCCTGAACGGGGATTTTCGGGGTTTTCGCGTATTCTCGACTTCATATTCGGAGTCAGGGACATGAGAAGGCCCTGAAAAGATAAAAACGTGAAAGTTGAAAATCTGGGTGGACGGTGCCTTTAACCGCACTCAATTTCCCATAATCGAAAAATCATAATCAAAACACTTTATTAGTTTCAACGCATTGTCGCAGAAGTTTGAAGTACAAATAATGAAGCGGTCTGCGTACTTTGTGGGGTTGTGGAAGAGGTACCCTTCAAAGATATGATAGTAATAATTGGATTTACCACATGAAATATACTTATTGTGATCATTCCTGTAAACACTATTGTGGTATATGTTGTACATCCAAAGAAAAAGCAAGCTGGTTGCACCAATAGTTGTATTGGTAGCATCACGGCAAGGTTTAATGCCTTAAAAAGTTGGATAATTTCCAGCATACGGTCCCCATTGTATGAATTATTAATGTAAGTGTCGTGTGTTGCATACCTGAGCGAGGAGCATGTTGCTTAAACGGCGTTGCATCTGTTTTGTCCTCTTGCTAAACGCAGGTTCATTCAATTTCTTCTTCACTTGTTGAGCGAAATACAAAGCGATGACGAAGAGGGCAAAAGTTGTTATCGACGTTTCAATAAGCATTGCATATTGGACCAAGTTTCCGTCCTAAACATGGAGCGAGCACGATAAAACCGTATTTCCGAGAGAGCAAGATGCACTCGTTGTCCGAGCCGGAAGGTGTTGCGATTTGAAGACTTCATACCGTGCTGCGATACACACAAGCAATCTTGTGAGAAAGTGGCCTTTCTGAGGGCACCACAAGCGATTTGTATTCAACAAAGAAAAAAGAGTGTTTTGTAGTCGTGAGATTAGACTGTTTGTTGCTTATACAATAAAATTTCGCAAAAATAAGCAAAAAATCACTAACCTCATTGCAGAAACCCATGAAAGCATGATCCTCTAGGCTGGTTTTAGCTAATAATGCTGTCGCTGACAATTTTTGCAAATCGTATGTGCGTTCTATATCCGGTCGTTTATCGAGCATTGCACCTAATACTTGAGCCACAACACCACTAAGCCAATTCACCATCATTGCAAAGTTCGCGAAGGCAAGAGGAATGATCCACAAAGATTCGTAGATAAATTGATACTTGGGCCTTAATCGGTGCTGATAAAATTAAGAAATGCATCATCAACGATTTTTTCAAGGATAATTCATATTATAGCAAAGAAATGAGTTATCAGCTAGACTCAAAACTTTATTGGAAGGCACGTGTTTTGTCATCTTAATTCAGTTGCGCAAAAGCACAGAGATTGTAAGAACAAAAATGGTTTGCGTGATGCCAGAAAAATCGCAAAGCCCGAAGCTCATTGAATTTGGAATCTACACTGAAGAACTTCTTTCTTCGTCATTATAGCCTGTGCATGTGGGATAAACGTCGCAATCGTATGCGAGAAATGCACTGACGCTACAATTGCAAAGTTAGTATCTGCGCAACTTTCTAGATTTGTACCTGCAGAAAAGAATATAAAAGTACAAGAAACTGTTCAATATAGTGAGAAGGGAGATGAGCATTGCTGAGAAATTAAATACCAGCACTAAAAAGCCAATCGTGTTCGCGCTCACCAAACCCGTGGCGATGTACATGATACAATAATTGTGCGTAGCTGCTCTCTAAAACAAACTTACAGTACAAAAACTTCATGAAAAAATTCTTACCGGTGAAGATAGCGCGTAGAATGATGCTTCGAAGATATTCAAAACAAGAACAATGAGATAAGGTTTTCTTGAGCCAACCCTCTTTCGATATGTGTGGGCAAGCTTGTAAAGACCAAATACATTTAGAAAAAGAGCAATGCCCCCAAGCACTTCGACTGCAATGTTGACTGGATCTTGCATCCTGTAAATCTCGGCGTCTGGTGCTTGAAAATAATTGCGGTCTATGCAACACGTACTCAAATTATGCGCCACCGAATATGGGCATCAACCTAACTTTCAAAGATATGCACAGTCATCAACAATGGCACACTGCAACTCGGACAAATTCTGTTGATTTTTTCTTCCTCCAAGTAAGATTCCAAAATTGAACCTTAGAAATCTTTCTAACAAGGGAAGGATACTTGGTGGCCGTGGCCTTTTGCAATGAGATGTATACCAGTAGATGCGCCTTGAAACGCTGATTCCAGATCTATGTTCATTATCTGCTGTGCGACTTTCTGAACGAAATTACGAACCTTTCTCTACATTGATTTTACGAGATTTACACAGTCAGAATCGTCAATATCCAGGCTCTTTAGACTCCGATGTATCGGAAACAGTTATCCTGAGCTTAACTTGAAGCTTTGCTTTTATTGGACGCTCTTTTGTAGTGCGTAAACGAACATTCTAATGATATTGGTGAATCCTGCGTCAAAAACAAAGCAAATTTTTGTAACAAGAAATGCTTATAACTTCTTTTGGAAGAGCGCACAGCAGATAGCGAAACCAGATTTGGAATCAGCGCTTCAAGATGCATCTAATGGTATACGTTTCATTTCAAAAGGTCACGGTCACCAAGTATCCTTCCCTTGTAAGCAAATTCATTGAAGTGTGTGAAGAAACGAAAGGGTTGACACAATGTCATAATCCGCCATAGATCGGTAGTGGAATAGTAGTCTTGCAAGCCGGGTGTCCCAAAAGTACATGGTTTGATCGCTGCTAAAGGCAGTGGATCGGCAAAACTTAACAACGCAGGATTTTAACACGTTTCGACTCGAAATGGCGCGCGGCGAAAAAGAGTGTAATTCCAGCCGTTAGCCAACAAAGGGACCTTAATTCGTATACTGTGTGCTACATCTGCAATAAGCATGTCAGATAAGACTCATACCCAAAGTTCTGAGTGAATTCGAAGTATTTGAATTTTGTCGCTTGAGAAGGACTTCTGTGCTTTCCTGAAAGATAAGAACAAGAACTCAGTTTCTAATAATATCCAAAAGTATCTATGTTGTAGAACGGTACACATCAGTATTGAAACTACGGTTTTTCTCATTGAATTTGAAGCAAAGGAAAGTTGCGACGTCGCAAGTGTCGTTCGCGTTGCCGCACTTCGTTGCAACTGTTGTTCGAATTGTCCTCATATCTTCTAAACAAATATTGGCGGCACAACCTTACAAAGTCATATGAAAAGGAGGAGCTTAGGCCTCTGACTTGATAACCTTGGACAAAAAGAAAACCTCCTGCAAACACTAAAAAGATCCTTGAAAGGCGCGTGCTGCACCAAGTGCAGCACCGGTCCGAAACGTGTTGACCCAGTAGGCTCCTTATCGCCCAAGTATGAAAATAGTGCAATCCCGGTTGCACAGCATGCCTTCCCTGCCGAGAAAACTGCTCTCAAACTTACACGCGCAAACCAATCTTACACGCGCCCGGGCGAGTTGGCAATTTCCTTCCCACCATTGGAGGCTGCCCGCCGCAATGCTATAACCATTGGGTCCTGCAATAATTCAGCGTCATCAGCCTTGCTCCCTCGTCCAACTTCAAAGGGAAGGGCATTTAAAAACGCATGTTTTCGCCGTTTTCAAGCTCTCTAAAGTGGATTTTCGAGATCAGCGTATTGAATAACCCCAGGTAAGCAAAAATTTGACTAGGTTAAAATTTGCCGAGCCACTGCCTCTAACCACCTTGTCTCGAAAGTTCCCGCATATCCTGGGAGAGCTGACCTTAACTTGAGTTTACAGCACAATCTGAGCGCTTGTCTTCGTCTGATTAGGGAGGGTATTTTGCTTTTGATTCAAAAAAGCTCTATGGATTAAAAATGTGAGCATGAATATGAACATTGCACTACCGCAAACTTGACAAATTTACGCAACACACCGTAAAAGTACTCCGCCAAAAATTATCAAACGTCTTGCTACAGTTTTTGAAAGGCTGTACGTGACGTACAAAGTTCTTCAATAAATATTGTAGTCCTCAACCCCAACACATAAGTTCTCAAGTTTCAAGCTTTTCTAATGTCAGCAGATTTGCACCCAACCGATATCCTAGAGATTTTATCATCCTACAGCTGTTAAGAGTGGACGGATTGTACTACAGATCTAATTGTAAGTTTAGGCTAGATCAAAGTTGCACCATACAACCTTGAATCAACCTAATATATCCTATGCGATGGATTTTGAGGAAAACAGTGATAGCGATTTCAGTTGGCATATTTTTGGGATTATTCTATCATTTTCTTCCCTTAGTCACCCTGTCTTTCAACTTCTCCACTTTTCAGACATCTGTGCGCTACCTTTATTACAGTCGCTTTCAAAGCTTCGAGCGGCTGAAAAGGTTTTGAAGTTTAGCAAAGATCCAGGTACTGAGTATCAAATTCAAATCAGCATAAAATCAAGATAAATCTCAAAATGCTAGGAACCTGTCGCGTCGCCTTACTATTAAGACTTCTGAACGGAAGACCACCATTTTCGAGAATTGAGGAAAACGTGGATGGCCCAACATCTAAAACCCGGTGCAGCATTAGGACGTATCGCTTGCAAAATCATGCAAATCTATGCTTCAATATAGCTGTCACAATCTTAACGCGTAAACCCGGTATGATTATGGTAGTGACCCCAGAACGCGAATCCTTCAAATAAGCTGCACGTCTCCCAAAACGAGCCGGGAGGCGAAGTGCGTTGCCTTAATAATGAATACTTGCGATGGGTAAATACAAATTTGGAAACTTGCGGTGATCTTATCCCTGCCAAGGCGTATAACTAAGCTTTAGCCGTCAATCTAGATGAACTTGTTTTTGAAAGCGAGAAAGTGAGAATAGTTTTTTGCTCGAAATTTAGAGAAGATGGAACTGCAAAGAGATCTTACTGAAAACCTAAGCAAAAGTCCGAATAGCTATACATGATTAAATGTTCATTGTTATGACGCTTATAAGTACATTAGAGAACGGCTGAAAAACTGTCAAAACTAGTGAACTCTGTAAGCACCTATATTTTCACCTGTCTGATCTCGAAATGTACTATGATAATAATAGGTTGTGTAATAAGTTTTGTCCCATTTCTTGTTTCGATTTTTTCACACTATTTTGCAAAACGTGTATATGCATTTGAAAGCACTAATCTTGCTCTACCAAAACTCATTCTCCTAAAGCAGGGAAATTCGAAAAGTTTTCCAGCATCAAATTTGGAAAATCAAAGAGAAACACATTCATTTTCGACAAGTCGCGCTCCCAACTCCCCCCCCCCCTCCCCCCTTTAGGTCAGAGGCTTACAAAACACCTAGAAAAATCTGGCGAGCGTAAGGAAAGAATGCTATAGTTTCTGCAGGGGTTCAGGAGTGCTGAAAATTCGAAAATTGTTATTTGTAAACCCAAAAAAGGTCTTCTTCTCAACGTCTCTTCATTGTTAAAGTTGGGCATCTTAAGGCCGTCCTGGGGGCGGAAAAGGTAGAAATCTGGGTCTTTGGCTATAAAATCTTTGGTTACTCAAAATGGTTTAGAAGATTGTTTTTTTGTTGTTGTTGTCAGGTTTGTTGGACATGAATTAGGAAAAAAATCGAAAAAAAGGATGTTGAAAACGGATTTTTCGCCACTTTTTTTCAGTATTCTGTTAAGGATGACGCATATGAGATTGCAGAGCAGACTTAGAGCTTTCAAAAGCATATACACTTTATTCCAAATAAGGAAATATTATTAATAAAAAAAACTGAAAAGAGACAAAACTCATTACACAATTCAATAGATCTCAATTAGTACTTCGCAGAGGATGAATATGAAGAACACTTTTGAATGCTGGCTAACATTGCTGTTTGTAAGATTCACAATCAAAATCAAAACTATGATCAAAAGTGAGGTGGCACTTCACATTTACTGTACCGCAGCGAGAGTTTAGGCGGAAACTTAGGCATTGGCGAGCGACGAAGGACTAGCATGAGTGCTTGAGTCCCCTAATCTTTAGATATTTTGACCTGACGCGAGGTTCTGCGAAGGAGCGATGCCTCTTCAAAAGTAAAGATCAAATTTTCGTCTCCTATCATCTTATATATAAAGCTGAATGTCTGTTTGTCTGTGTGTCTGTCTGTCTGTCTGTCTGTCTGTATGTACGTATGTTCCGAATAGAAAA